TCCGCCGATACAGCGTTTCTTCAACGAGAAAACGAGCAGCTCCGGGCAGCTCTCATCGATGAGAGACAGCGCAAGGAGCGTATCCAGCCTGGTACGCTCGAGCTGTCTGACGATTATCATGGTGGAGCTACTTTCTGGTCTCCACGGAAGGTGCGAGAAGCTCGCCGCCAATATGAGCAGAAACAGCGCGATCATGAGGAGTTACAACGCCAAAAAGCTATCGCGGTTAAAGCTAGAGAGGAGAGAAAGCTACTCAAAGCTCAAGAACTAGATGCGCGACGGCGGGCGCGGGCACAGGCAAAACTAGATCGTGAGAGGCAGAAAGCTGAAGCAGCTGCCCACCGGATAGCCCGCCAAGCCGCCCACAAACGACTTCAGAAAGCTATCAAAATCTCACAAAGGGGAAAGAAGCCTACCTTCAAGCGCTCTACTGAACTAGCATCAAAGAATATTATCGTTGGCAGTAGTAGTGGTGGTGCGCAGCGAGCTAATCGATCAGCTGCACCACCATCACCACGCTCGCGTTCAGGCCGCCCCATCAAGCTGCCAATCAAATATCAGTAGATAGATCAAATAAACAATACTACGAGATTACTATACTAGAGTTTCTCGCGATAATAGCTTTTATGTAGAGCTCTACAGCTTCAAGTTTGTGATAGTACTGTTGGGGAGAAATCCGGCGTTGGCCCGTCCGCGGCGTTGGCCCGTCCGGCACCTCTACTCCCCGACCGAAGACCCCGAAACCACAACTCCAAGGGCTACAGCACGTCATTTATCGAAGTAACGTCCCATAACGGCAAGGGCGGGAAATTGCAGAAAAACAACGACGCTGCTCGTGAGGATGGATTGCGCAAGAATGAATTGAACACACTGAGTATCATAAGACCAAGAACATGGGCAAAAGCTGCTGGGCGATACATTTGTCATATTCGGAAGCATGAGACTCGGTTTTCTTTCACTTCTTGTATCCTTGCTCCCTGCTATCTGCAGGAAAACCGAGCTCACTTACCCATATTCCAAACTGGTCAAACGTCCACCTACTGCGCCGCCTACAAACTATATAAAAGTTGCCAAGCTACCTATCCATGCAATATAGTCTTCGGTATGCTGGATACGGGAAATGAAATCTGCTATGTCGGAGATAAGAAAGTCGGCCGCGACGCGATTGGCCAATATCCCCGAGCATGCAGAGGTATACTAGGCATGACCGAGCGATCATAAGTACGTATCTCCGCTTTCACTTCCGTCTCCGTGACCCCACTTGAGCTTCTATCCTCTTCAAAAATATTCAAGCACTCCGCACTGCAATTAACTAGAAGTTTTGCCAAAGATATGGCTGAGGGCGCTCGCTTACGTAAACGACCCACTGTGTAGGTCGCTCGTGTCTCGGCGGCTATAACCGGCGCTAATCATATTCAGCTCCTGCACCCTCTGCCGCAGAAGAAAGGTACGGTGTAACAGAGAGACACCATGCAGCAACTGTATGAGGTCAAAGACAGGGTCTTGTGTATACGAGACTCAATCATCTCTGGATCAGAGGTTGGATAAAAGAGCACTGGCATGCATTCAACCACAGTGCGATGTACCAGGACCAATCATTGGCTCTACCATGCCTTCGAGAGTCTCGACTACAAGTAGCTCATCCACTACGGAACGCCCTACAGACGACAGCAACCACGCTGCGTTTGAGCTGGAAGCCATGCGAACTCGCATCACTGAACTGGAAGATAAATTATCTCGTGCTATTAGTGTTACTAGCTCGCCGTTCTCGGACGCTGCTTCTACTCCGGCTTCGACACATTCTGTGCGGACTGTCAGCTGCCTGGCGACAACTGTAGATTTTCTTGAAGATACCCGGGCACCCAATGGCACTTCGATATCTCGGAGTGTCGCACATAAAAATCGTGTATTTGGGCAAAGCCATTGGATGAACGGTTTTGTCATGGTTCAAACCCCATGCTCCAGATCAAAGCGCACTCGATTGCTAACAATGTGCGTAGTTTCGTCAAATGCTTGAGATGATTGAACCACATCTTCGAGCAGGATCCATGAACTGTATCGCTGACCTACAACGCGCTAAAAAGCTTGCCCGTGTTATCAAAGCGAGCCGCTCTCCAACCTGGCCTACTCAGCCGTGCAGAGACTTGCCGCCCAAACCACTTTGCGACCAACTTGTTGCCGCATACCTTCGTACCATAGAGACAGTATACCGGGTCTTACACGTGCCAAGCTTCCAGCGTGCATACGAAGACATATGGAACAATAACACGGTTCCTAGCATGTCCTTTGTAGTGATGCTCAAGCTGGTTTTGGCAATCGGTGCCACCTTTTACGATGACAACATGTCCTTGCGGGCCGAAGCAACACGTTGGGTGTACGAAGCACAAACATGGCTGTCCTCGCCCTCATTCAAGTCGCAGCTTGGCATCCAGTACCTGCAAAACAGCATTCTTCTGCTCTTTGCACGCGAGATTGTTGGCGTAGGCGAGGCCCTTGTGTGGATTTCGCTGGGTGCCGTGTATCGTGCAGCGGTCTATATTGGGCTACACAAGGATCCCTCTCAACTTCCCGTAATGACCACATTTGAGGCAGAGATGCGCCGACGGATCTGGAATACGGTACTTGAGTTATCGTTGCAGATGAGCATGATGTCTGGTGGGCCACCGCTAATTTCCCAAGAGGAATTCAATACTGCGCCTCCAGGAAACTTTGACGACGAGGAACTTTTGGAAGCGGATCCCGTCGTCGCGCACGACCAAGTCTTTACACAAACGTCAGTGGCGATTGCTCTTCGGAAAACACTGCCGGTTCGACTTACGATTCTCAAATTCTTGAACGAAATCGCTTCCAGTGGGACGTATGAAGAGACATTGCGCATTGATGGAATGCTCAGAAGTGTGTCCAAAAACTTGCGCCGCACACTGCACGGCTACAGTGCTGGCGCCTATTCGCCGTCACAATTCACGCTGCAAGCAGTCGAGTTTGTTATGCAGCGCTACACGACCTGCCTCCACCTCCCCTTCTTCGCCTCTGGACTCAAAGATCCAAGGTTCGCTTACTCACGAAAAGCTACAGTGGAATCGTCGCTCAAGATTTGTAATATAGCGCATCCGGTATGTACAGACAGTGTTTGCTCGGTAGACGAGAGGGACCTAGCTCGTCTATGTCGGTGTGGCTCGGGCTTCTTCCGGGAACATGCCTTCAATGCTTCGTTATTCTTGACAAAAGAGTGGACCATGCGAGTGCAGGACGATGAAGAGGACGCAGACATGATGTCGAGTCCGCTAAGAGTCGTAGTTGAACAGGCTGCGTCTTGGGCTCTAGACACCAATCAAGCCGGCGAAACAGGCATCAAGGGCTATCTGGTGCTGTGTCTCCACAAGGCATGGATCGACGCGACAAAACATGGCGCCAACCGGTCAGATTTCCCAATGCTCTTGGTAGAAGCCTTGCGACGGGCCCTCGACGTGTGCGTCCCGCTGCTAGAGACGATAGCAAGCACTCAAGTGCAATGTTCGAGTCCTTATGGCGCCAACGAGCTGGACGGTGTAGGAGAAGGTAGCTTTCAGTTTCCAGCCGAAGGTGCCGAGGACTGGGACACGGTCATGTGGGAAACGTTCAACATGGATGATATCGGGAGCTTTGACGCGTTCATGCCATGAAGTAAGTACTATGAGTAACTATGGGCAGACGGGTCAGGCAGATGTGGTGTGGTCTCGTGACATGACAGCGGCTGTCATGGTTCCGAGGGGGCTTTCGCCTAGAGGCCAAGGTGCAGGAGCATGACACGCGCCCCTGGCCATGTCCCACCCCCCAGCCGCCCGCCCATCCAACCGCCCGTAGCCATCGCGCCGCGCTACATTCCAATAGCCACGGCGCCACGGGTAATTCAAGACTTCTGGCAGCGCTTCGCACAACAATTGGTGCAGACTCGAAATCTGAACAATGTCACGCTCACTCTGCCCACCACGTCACCGATGTACTTGGACACACTAGTAGCGCCCAGCCAGGCACACTTGATCATAATCCTCCGAGCATCCTGACACACAAAGAGCCTCATGCACGCCCCAACATCCGGCGCTTCACGTCGCAGTGCTGTCAGAACAACCACACATCATAGCCATTGTCGCCTCATAAATCACGTCCAAGTGGCCTGATTTCTCTTCCTTTCTTCGCTTCTCCCCTTGTCGTGTTTCTTGGTATACCTCAGGCAGCGGAACCAAAACCTCATCCAACAACTACTTCTCTTCTTTCTTTTGGGTCTATTCACTTCTACGAGGCGTGCCGGTCACATTTTTGCCATTACTATTTTCATAATACCCGACTTCCATTCATTCACTACCAACAATCGTTTCTTCTCCGGCCTCGCCACTACACATTGTCAAACAACTCGACAAAGAAGAAAAAAGGATACACCAAAACAAAGAAAAAAACAACAACGACAACGTCATCATCATGTACACTTCACTTTTTGCACCACTTTTTCTTCTCCTGTCCATCTTCCACTTGGCAGCTTGCTCCCCCTCGGCCAGAAATGTCGTCATCCCAGGTCGTCTGAACAACGACCTGGACACCCGCCAAGTCTCCGTCACCCCATCCCAGCAAGAACTCTGTCTCGACTATGAGCGCACAGCAAACCTATCCACTGCCGGCGCAAATGGATCCTACCGTACCGTCGTAATGCAAAAGGCAAACGTAGGCACTTTGACCAGTGCCGCCCTGATGAATGCAGCCATGGCCAAGTTGCCCACCCTCACCGCGGACAGGGACTTGAACGCCCGCTGTGGAAACTGGACTGAGATTGCGCTGGTCGAGGCTGAGAGGAACTTTACCCAGGGCATTGTGCTGCAGTTCACTACCGAGGGCTTGCCTGTTGGCATCAAGAACGGCCCTGAAGTAATACTCATTGTAGCTCTGATTTGTCTGCTCTTCAGTGTCGTTTGGGTCTTCGCAGAGTAAACGGAGTGAAAAAAGAGAAAATCTGGAGAGTTGGAGGAGTGTCAATATTTTGGATCAAGATGGTTGAGTTGTGAGGAACATGGTGTATGGCCATCGCGGCGCTGTTACTATCGTAGCAGAGACGAGTCAAGAATACCCGATCGTGCAATGTTTAAACTATGGTGATTTATCAAATCATCCTTCGACTACTTCCTGCGTCTTTTTACTATTTTGGTACCGTTCGCGTGTATGGGTACTTTGTTAGGAACTTGTAAATGCGTCATCACCATGCGACACTGTATCTGCTCGCAAACACACTCGGCTTGAAGTCGTATGGGATGGACATACTTGTACCAGCGCGCCAATATCGCACTGAGTGAGAGGACTTCAAAACTATACTAACGTACATCCTGTCGCAACGGAACAACCGGTGCAACGGAACTGAACCTGTAAAATTAGTCTGCAAAAGGCAGCAAACATGTTTCGAGGATATTATAGTTAGAGTTCTTGAATGTTTTATTGGCTTATAATCTATGTATTACTAACACCCAGATAGAAAAATATGCAGTGTTGCGCCGCGTAACGACGAATCTATTGACAGCGACATTTCATGCCCCAGCCTATCACCTCATCCCAAGCGATCATTTCGAACTGAATTTGTATGTTGGGGCTATACGGGGTAGCTTTAGGTGTTAGGTTTTAAGCCTCGAGTCTCAGAATATTCAATATCGATATGTGGCGATGATACTAAGGTTTCTCCGTCCAGAAGCCGTTGAGATGATTTGGCGTGAGACTTTAGCGCCAGCTTTGTCATCTGTGTAATATTAGTTAGTTACTCACGTATCAAGGATTTCTATCTTGCCATGTGATACTTGGCTCTCGCACCCTCTCCGATCTGTTTTCATGTGTCTTGTTCTATTTCGAGCACATAACTGCACGACACCTTCCATCTCTGGCGCATCAGCAAATTGTACAGTAGCGGTCATGGGTCTGCCACTCTTTGTAATGGGAGGAGCTTAAGTTCGGAGCCTTGCAGCTGCAGCCTTGAGCGTGCATGCTGGCACGATGTCCCCGCCACATGCATGGCGTACAGCCACTAACAGACCAAGGTATGAAACGGTATACGACTTTGAGCTTGTAAATGCAGCACACCCTTCTGCCATCTCGGTCCTATAGCCTTATTGCTATCCTGCTCTGCTGCTCGGGCAGATTTTCGCCGTCAAACACAGAGCCCATCTACCTCCAGCTTCCCTCATATCAGGCTGCCGACTTCAGCCTCTTGTCTCCCCAAACGCATTCGTCTACCGCCAGGTCTGTCCGAGTCAATGCGCCTTCTCACGTATGACGAAGATGGCAAGCTTAGCATTAAGCGCTTCGACGCCCAACAGGTGCCTCGTTATGCGATACTGTCTCACACCTGGGGAGAAGAGGATGAGGAGGTGACCTTTTCGAATATCATCAACGGTGATGGTTTGAACAAGGCGGGCTACAAGAAGATTCATTTCTGCGGTACACAGGCACGGCGCGATGGTCTGCAGTACTTCTGGGTCGACAGCTGCTGCATCGACACGACGGACAAGGCTGAGCACTCGCACGCCATCCGATCAATGTTTCGCTGGTATCAAGCTGCAGAGAGATGTTATGTTTATCTATTGGACGTACGTGGTTCCTTGTGGGAGTCTGCGTTCAGGTCAAGCCGTTGGTTTACACGCGGATGGACGCTTCAAGAGCTTCTCGCACCAAACATAGTCGAGTTCTTTTCCGCAGATGGTGAGAAGCTAGGCGACAAGAGTTCGCTGAAGTCGCTAATCCACAAAACAACGGGTATTGCTCTTGAAGCTCTTGCAGGAGTTCCTCTTGCCCAATTCGAAATTGACGAGCGGCTGCGATGGGCAGCAAACAGGGTAACAAAGGTTAAAGAAGATAAGGCATACGCACTGCTGGGTCTTTGTGACGTGGATATTGCGCCTCTGTATGGAGAAGGCGAACAGGAAGCATTCAGACGGCTTGATAATGAGATTGAAAAGCTAAGAACCTGCATACGTGATTTGCGTCCTACCGATCCTCGCAAAGATAAGAAGCGAATCGAGCAGACAAAAGGTGGACTACTCGTAGACTCCTACCGATGGATTCTTGACAATGAGACCTTCCAGCAGTGGCAGAAAGAGTCAGAGAGCCGATTGCTTTGGGTGAAAGGCGATGCTGGAAAAGGCAAAACGATGTTGCTCTGCGGCATCATCAACGAATTACAGAAGGCAGCAAACAACACCTTTACTGTCTCCTACTTCTTCTGCCAAGCGACTGACTCACGCATCAACTCTGCTACGGCTGTGCTGCGAGGCCTGTTGTACATGCTCGTGGAGCAGCAACCGGCGCTGGTATCGTATGTCCGCAAGAAGCACGATCGTGCAGGCGAAAGCTTGTTCAACGATGCAAATGCCTGGGTAACCTTGACAGAAATCTTCGAGGAGGTGCTACGAGAGCCCAGCTTGCGCCAGACATACTTCATGATCGATGCGCTGGACGAGTGCACCACTGATTTGCCGAAGCTACTAGACTTTATCGCAAAGCACTCGTCGGCATCTTCTCGCGTCAAGTGGATTGTGTCTAGTCGCAACTGGCCTGATATCGAAACACAACTAGACCGAGCAGGACAGAAAGTGAAGCTTAGCCTTGAGCTGAACGCGGGTTCGATTGCAGCAGCAGTCAACATCTTCATTCGCCAAAAGGTTGACGAATTAACGCAGGAAAAGCGATACAATCTAGAGCTTCGGAATGCCATGCTTCAGCATCTAACGTCCAACGCAAACGATACCTTTCTCTGGGTAGCTTTAGTGTGCCAAGATCTAGATGCAACAGCGCCCCGGCACGTACGAAGGAAGCTAGCCTTGTTCCCGCCTGGGCTAGACGCTTTGTACGAGCAAATGATGCACCAGATAAGCGTGTCTGACGACGCTAAGATCTGTCGCCAGGTTCTGGCTGCGATGGCGATCTGTTACCGACCTGTCGCGATCTGTGAATTGATCACGCTTGTCGAAGAGCCAGATGAGTTTGTTGACGACTTTGAATCAGTACGGGAGATTATTGGCTCCTGCAGATCGTTCCTGAGTCTGCGGGCGGACACAGTCTATTTTGTCCATCAGTCTGCACAGGACTTCCTCTTGAAACAAGCGTATGATACGATCTTCCCACAAGGCAACAAATATATCCATCAGGCGATATTTTCGAAGTCGCTAGCAATTATTTCCAGGTCATTGTGTAGAGACATGTACAACCTAACCTTATCAGATGGCATAGCCGCGTTAGGTTTCCCGGTTCAGAGCTTTGAAACGCCTGATCCGGACCCATTGATGGCACTGCGCTACCCATGTGTCTACTGGATTGACTATCTCTGCAAGTCAGAGCCTGAGTTTGGCCCCGACAGAGTTAATAGCCACCAAGTAAAAGAGAAGCTTATCAAGTTTTTTAAAGAGAAGTATCCCTACTGGCTAGAAGGGCTCAGTCTTTGCAAGAGCATAGAAAAAGGCGTTGTTTCAATGACAAAGCTGTGGACCTTATTGCAGGTTTGTACTCTATTGCTAGGGTATTTAAATGTTTCGCTTGTATGCTAACATCGCTAGGAGGTACGTGATGAAGGCGAACTTACTCAGCTTGTCCAAGATGCACGGAGGTTTACAATGTATCATAAAGGAGCCATCGAGGCGTATCCTCTGCAAACATATGCTTCTGCGTTGTTGTTCAGTCCAACAGGGAGTCTAACCAGAAGGTTGTTTCAGCACGAAGAGCCTAAGGAAATAAATATCAAGCCAGCGTTAAGCAAGAGCTGGAGTGCATGCCTGCAGACGCTCGAGGGCCACAGCGATTCGGTCTACTCAGTGGCCTTCTCGCCCGACTCGGCGAGGCTGGCATCGGGCTCGGACGACAGGACGGTCAAGATCTGGGATGCTCACAGTGGAGCGTGCCTGCATACGCTCAAGGGCCACAGCAGTTATGTCAGCGCAGTAGCCTTCTCGCCCGACTCGGCGAGGCTGGCATCGGCGTCAAATGACAGGACAGTCAAGATCTGGGATGCTCACAGCGGAGCGTTTCTGCAGACCCTCAAGGGCCATAGCAGTCCGGTCTACTCAGTGGCCTTCTCGCCCGACTCGGCGAGGCTGGCATCGGCGTCGAATGACAGGACAGTCAAGATCTGGGATGCTCACAGCGGAGCGTGCCTGCATACGCTCAAGGGCCATAGCCGTTGGGTCTACTCAGTAGCCTTCTCGCCCGACTCAGCGAGGCTGGCGTCGGGGTCGTGGGACATGACGGCCAAGATCTGGGATGCTCACAGCGGAGCGTGCCTGCAAACGCTCGAGAAACAAAGAAACCCTGACCTTCCGTCCATCCTTGCGACACAACGCTGTAACGAAGATGTCGACAAAGGCTAGCAGTCTTTACATCATGATACCACTATCAATGTACATACTGTCTGGATTTCCATTAACTCTAAAAATGTGCTGTGGGTGCCATCAGAGTACCGACCAAGCTGTTCCACTGTGTTAGACAAATCTATAGGACTAGGTACTGGGCATGGAAAAGTCTGGATAGTTCGCGTCAAGTAATCTGAAGTGTCTGAGAGATCTCCTTCATTCTCTCCATTCTATTTCTTATACCTTAGCATTCAGAGAGGGCTGGGGATATACTTGCTTATATGCTTTAACTCTTTGCCACATAGAATCTTCGAGCAAGTGCTCGTTGTGTGATCTCAGTACTCTTGATCGTCGTCTCTTCTTGCAACTTTTCCTTTTGGCAAATGCATAGATGCTCCTTGGCCTCTACTTGTGTAAAAGCCTCGGATAACTCCATACAGACACAGGCAATCTACCATATATTCTTGAAGCCTTATTGTAGCTATCACGATGTTTAGTTATGCTCTTAATTCTATTCGTAGACTCTAAAACAAATGGCTGCTTAACTTTTTAAGGTCGACTGATTATAACGAGCGTTTCTAGTGAGGCGTCTTATGTTAGTCATCGTAGGCCAGCTGATAAAGAACTATTTTTTTCAGTTAGTAATGAACTGTTACAACTCGCGTAAACACGCCGTGATTGGATAATTTATCGCGCAAGTACCTCGCGGAGTGGCAAGCACGCATAAATCGGCCCGCAGGCCAAACCCGAGAACTGCATATAGCCCTAAAGCGATATAATAGATTCTTGAATGTATGCAAAGGCCGCGCCAGCCTTCAGATAGTTGAAGCAGATGGTGGTGGCTGTAAATCAAGTATAAGTCCTTATCGCTACAAAAGCAGTCACTCCACAGATCATTAGGTTGAACGACCACAACACTGTAATTTTAGTATTGAGATACGTATATTAGCTCAAAAATTATCATAATATTCAATGTGAGAGAGACCGAAGATTATTAAAACCCCTGCATGGCTTAACATAACTGTAAAGTCTAAGTACATGTAAAATTGTCCGCTGCGGGGGTTGTTCCGTTGCGGCAGGATGTACGTTAGAAAATATTGTATGTACAAATCAACAACATCGCGCTACCATCAGGTCCAACTCCTCGTGACACGCTTTAGTAGCTTAGAAGGTGACAACGCCGACACCAGCACTCTTGGCCACGATGCTGCAGACACTGGCCGCAGGGTCAACAGTGTACTTGTAGCTGGGCGTGAAAGAGCCATTCTTGGTAATCTGGGTAGGGCTGTTGCTGAAAACATTGTTCTTCTCCGTCGCAAAGCCCTCCTCGTCAGAGTCGAGGTTGGTAACAACCGACTTGGCAACATTGGTGAAGGAATTCGACTCAACGAGCACTTGAGCGCCCATGCGCGAGTTGATGCCGGAAACGCCGCCGTTGAAGCACGAGTTGTAGACGTGGCCTGTGCCGAAGCGGATGGAGGGCAGACGCGAGTTGATTGCAGTGAAGGAGTTGTGGTGGTAAGTCACGCGCAGCTTGCCCTTGTCCACGGATCCGTTGTTATCGGAGTGGCCGACCAGGGAACCCTTCCACTATCGGGTGTGTTAGCACTACTTATACTGATATCCGTTTTTTCATAGTAAAGAAGAACTTACGTGGTCGTGGAACTTGTTCCATGAGAAAGTCAAAAAGTCAGATCCAGACTTTGCGTCCAAGAGACCATCGTACTTGTCCTTGTCGCCGGTGATACCAATGCTGGAGAAATCGTTGTGGTCAATCCAGACCTTGGTGGTGGCTTCAATGTCGATGAGATCCTTGCCCTCGGGAGCACGGTAGAACTTGAGGTTACGGACAATGATGTTGGAAGTCTTGAAGAAGCGGAAACCACCGTCAGTGATTCCGGCGTCCTTGCCTACACCGAGGATGGAGGTGCCGGGGACATCGAAGCGGACAATGCCGCAGCCGGTGAGCGTGCCCTTGATCTTGATGACACCTCCGACTTTGGCGGCAGCAGTCAGGCCAGCGCAGTTGGTGACAGTGGTACCGGCTCCACTTCCTCCTCCTGTGGTGCCAGCACCAAAACCAACAAGCTCGTCAACGGCGGCAGCGCGCTTCTCCATGGGGGCGCCATAGGCAGTGGAAGCAGCTGTCAAAGCCACAGTGGCAGCCTCAAAAAAACGCATCTTGATGTCTTTACAGGTAATGGACTAAAAAGTAAACGAAGAAGAATAGATACAGGGTGTAAAGATTGACCTGCGAAAAAGGATTGAGATATATACAAGGATCCAGCGGTTATGTCAAACGAACCTACTAAAAAAGGTAGAGGGCAGCTACAACACATGTATTCTTATAGCAAACCCATTTAACCTATCACGACCTATGTCAATTAAGATTAACAGAGCAGACGCCGTGCAAATTGTGGAGCAGCCATTTACTCGTTAGGGTTCCCCAATGAGCAGTTTCTCCGCAAGTATACGAGTTCAAGCTTGGCTTCTAGGGAAGGACCTTTTGGCAACCGTCAATATCCACCAAGCACGTCAAGCCATGGCGGTCTCGCGCGTATCCACTTGATGGAGTTCTAGAAGCCTAGTTCGTTTGGAAACCTGGGGTACGTGTCCAGGGGTAATGGGGGGCGTTCCCTTTCAAAAGCCGACCGTTCAAAATAGGTGTGTGAGTGGGATGTCGTTTGTGTTAGCTTGTTTCCGAATAATTCCTAGAGTAGAAAGGTAATCTAGCAGTTACAGGTGTCGCCAATTGACTATGCTATTAAGAAATCTTGGCTGCGCCTTGACGGCAAAAGAACCACCAATGGGAGAAACTCGGAAATGAAGATCGCCAATCCAGACCAGTGGACGAGATGGGGAGCGGTTGCCATTCGGGGCACTTGGGCAATGACGAACAGTGGATGGAATAATGTAGGGGGTTGTGAACAACGGAATGTGGTACAACACGTTGACTGCATTTCTGCGGTGGGAAAGATGGAGAAATTTCAAGTTAGTGAGTGTAACACGAGGGACGGCGCTTAGTAAACGCCCCGGTTACTGCTGCTACATTCGTCTCACACAATTTACGTATTAGCGTGGAACTAATTCTCGTAGAAATGCCGGCCAAGTTCTACCATTAGCCGAAATGCTCACGAACGGTGTTGCTGACGTTGTTCTACTTGAATCCTACTATTTAATGAAAATGTTAACCGTCGTCGGCTTCTACTAATTCCTCAACCGAAGAATATGCGTTCCAGGCGACATTCACAACATGGGTGAACAAAACCATTGAGTCGGGACCAGCTTGGCGTCGTTTCGCCCAGAAGCGTGCGAGTACTGTCCAATCCACTTTGGGGGATTAACCCTGAGACCCGGGTCGAGAGAGCCAAGCGGTACTTTTTCTCGTCAGCATTCTCAGAACCCGATCTTTCCAATGCCATAAATTAGCTGTGTTCTTCAGCCTTGGTGTCAAGCATACCCCTCTTTCAACGGGATCACTTGACAAGAGGTACCCATCTCGATCTATCTCGACTCTTCTCATCACTGCATTGTTTTCTTGTGCATGAAAAAGAACTTCTCAAGTTTGATGTGCAATATGCGCTGAACGTGGTTGTTAGGCCGATCTCCAAAATAGAGTTGAGACTCAATCTAAACAATTACTAATTATTGAAGCTGTCTTTTCTCACACTACTTAACCGAACCGGTCACGCTAGACCAGAGGAAGAGCCCGTTCACGATGAGCGAAAGCGTGATCTCGTACCGCATATATATGGGTATTCGGACGACTTTTGGCCGCGTCATACACTCATTGCCAGCGCTGCATGGATGATTTGTTCTAACACTGCTGACGATTAGTACAGTAAAGAGTCGTAATGAAATGTTAACTAATACTTGTGTACTTATAGTATTGCTCGATGTGTTGGCTACTCTATGTTTTAGATCAGCCTTAGAAATAATTAAAACACTCTCATAATCTTCTTGGATCCGCTTGCACGCTGCTTATGGTGACCGCAATTCAACTAAACCATCCTCGACGGAGCAGTTGTCGTCCGCCAGTACCGACGTCGCCTCCGAATCTAAATCCGATTTCAATGTCGCGTTACTCAGCGCCGATTCTTTCTTGCGAAAATCAGTGTGAATAGGTGCTATGGTGATATTCCTTCGGTCTTGCAAGCCTCCTGATGGTAGCAGTGATGTTGACGATGGTACATCTCCTTCATTATCAGCGTAAGTATGACTTGTAAAACTGGTGGAGGATAAAGCCGGTGTTTCTCCGCCACTTTGGTATTCGTTTTCTTCCAGTTCGTCGCACAGGTTACGTGATATTTCAGGTGATGGCTGTGCAGAGGCGCTGATCGAGGGAGGCAAAGAATGATCAACAATTTGTTCGGGCACACACTCTTCTGTTTCGCCTTTTCCAGTGTCGTTTGTACCAATGTTGTCCTTCCCCATGGCTGCGTCGCCGCGGAAAATGTAACGCCATTCCTCCGCGTTGAGCGTCCTGTAGAGGAGTGCCATGTTATCTCGCTTCGCCAGTCTTTTCAGAACCATTTTAATCTCCTCTTGGCTGAGAAAGTCTGCGGGCTGGCCTTCGCTGGTGAACAGATGGTTCATGGGTCTGCCTGTTTTTCTACTCATCTCTGCCTGTTGCTTTGCGGCGCGCTTCATGCAATCACGGTAGGGTGTCCAATGACGACCTTCCACATTCTCCTTTTCCCAATCAATTTCTTCAAACTCGAGCTCACCCAGAGTCTTACGGGCTCTCTCTATCTTATGGGCCCATCTATCGTAGCGCTGTGTGGCAATCTGCAGTAGGAAACGTACATCTGCCTGTTCATTTGGACGTAGTCCTCTATGCTGAAAGTTTTTGTGATTGTTCGCATTATTTGGTGTGTCGAGTTTGATTGCATTCCCAAAATGCGTCTTGGCAGACTGCCAGTCTCCCAAGCCGCCGCAACCACGTCCAGCCCAGTACTCACTACGTGCTTGCAAAGTAGTGTTATCAAATCCTTCTGCGAGCTTTCCGGCTTTGGAGGCAAAGCGGTAAATCTTACGATAGTGCGTGTGTATCTCCGACTTGACCTCATTCATTCGGGGTTTGCGCTCCAAGATATCCAACACAGACTGCAGTACCTGGCAGCGAAGTATGAACAAGTGAAACTGCACTAGACGCACACTGCTCTTGTGTGTATCGTGCTCTTTAAGGGTCTCGTCAAGAGGTGCGCCATCGATGAAGTCTGGACGACCGCTCGGAGACAGATGATTTACAGTTGGAGAAAGTGTATGAACCGCTGAACCGCCGTTGAATGATGTGCTGTCGTTGGCTGAAATTATGCATGTGTTCATGGTATCGTTGAGGACAGTGTGGAGTTTTTCTTTGAATGGGGATTATCTTAATCCAAGGCACTGGGACGATTTGAAGTGGCAGGAGACGGCATGTTGTTTGGGATTGTTCTCATATTAGGAGGTTCAGAGTATCTTCTCTGCGGCGAGCGAGCGAAATTCAGCGCATCCTTCAAATCCACAAATCGTTTAGCGCCAGAGAACAAAGCCTTCAGGATATAATGGGCACGGTATATATGTCTTTCAAGATGTGTTTCTTTATCGTTAAGAGAGCTCCTATCCAAGAATATGGTGAGGCAACAATGAATATCATTGATTTCATTCAAAGCATCAACTGAATAGGAATTGAAGAATTTAATTATTTTTTTCGAGTAAAGCTAAGACAGTGAATAGATGTCCTGCCAGTCTCCTGGTTGTGCCGCTAACGGTACTCGCACAAAGCCCATCAAGTCCTACGACTACTGTCAGTCTCTTACTGATTAGCTTACACGGTGATATCCCTCGCCTCTCGCTTTGACCCAACGATACGGTACAGACATTCGTCTCGCCTTGGCGGCAGCGCGCAGTCTGAGTCGCGCACTGGTACGTCGACGTTTGTTCTGGATATGTTAGCACGAGTTGAAGACTACCAAGGTCAAGGCAACGCCACGTACGTCTATGGCCTTTTCCTCGAGTTGCACAAGCAGACCTTCCATGGTACGATTCTCATCAAAGCCCGATCGGCGCTTGGCACAACGCAGCATGTCCAGCTCGTCGTCATAGGACTTGCGGACGACGCTCACTTGAGGCAAGAGTAGATCGTCATGGCTGCTAGTGGTGCTCAACATATCGGAAGCTTGATGGAGCGCACGAAGGTCATGACGAAGTAAATTCTGCTGGCGCTGTATTTTGGGCAGGAAGCTCTCCAGTTCGGCGAGACGGCTGCAAAGCTCTATGGCTTCGCTGCAGACGGCGAGCGCGTCAAATATGTCATCGGGTCCTAATGCTCTGAGGATATTGCTCTTCAGCAGGAGGCCCTCTGCGCGGGCCTTTGGGCCAAGAGGACCACGTAGTAGTCGCTCAACTTCTGAGAGAGCAGTGCCGTAGTTTCTCTGATGGGCACACTCGTGCACTCTGTTAAACAGTGGATTGACGCATCCTTCGGCGACTGGTGACGAGCATTCTGCACGAATGCCGTGTAGAGAATAAATCGTGGCGGTGCCAAAGGGGCTTTCGAAGCCGTCAGAGGGGCGGGATGGAGAGGTGTCAGTCAGGGCTGAGGCGGCGTGGCCTCGATGCTGCTGGGCTCGCTCATTCTCCAGCTCGGCTTGGGTGGCGAAGCAGACGTCCTGGAGGTCGCGCAGACGAGCAGTCTGGGCCTCGAAGGCAGCTTTGTACTGGCAAGCGACTGCCTGCCAGGTATCTCGGTCCGCCTTGAGGTCACGGACAATGTGCTGGATGCAGGCAATGCCGTCCATTGTGGTGAATGAGGGCCTGTGCGTGGGGAGAGCAGTGTTTGCCCTGACGGCGGGTGGTGACATGATGGTGGCCCCGCCATCCAGGGCAGTGTGAATGTGCTGTGGTGTTGAGATAGGCAGGCAGGCACAATACAGGCAGACAGGCAGGCACCACTATCACCACCAACGCCCGCCCCGTCAAATGTTGAAGCCGCCATGGCGTGATGCTTCGACAAACCTCCAAAGCCCGGCTTCTTGTGCTGCCTTCTTCACAGATGCAACCGCGTCCAGATGCACAGGACGATTAATGTCTGCATACCGGACTGGTTCACCAGTGTCCGACGACGGCTCACCATCAGAGTTTGCGCGACCGCGACGTGGCTTACCCACATGAGCTCTTGGAAAGTATTGCTCCATAATGTGCACCATCAGGTCCTTGCTAACGTTCTGCGCAAGCCACCTTACAATCTCCTGGCCTTCGTCTTCCATGCCTGGCATGACTAGGTGTCGCACAATGACACCCTTCTTGGCTATGCCATCTGCACTAAAGCAGAGATCGCCAACCTGCTTGTGCATGGCCTTGATGCTCTCCATGGCCACTTCCGTGTACTTGTCGGCCTTGAGCAGACGCCTGCTCGTTGTGTCACGCCACACCTTGAAGTCAGGCATGTAGATATCCACCAGTCCATCAAGCAAACTAATGCTCTCGAGCGAATCAAACGCCGATGTGTTGTAAATAATAGGTAAGCGCAGGCCGAGCTCGCGCGCATGTAGTATGCTCAGTACCACCTGTGACACCACATGTTCTGGCGTGACGAGGTTGATGTTGTGGACGCGGCCAACGTCTTGTAGCTTCATGTACCAGTCGGCAAGGCCCTCGGGTGTCAGGTCAAATCCGTTACGCGTATGTGAAATGTCATGGTTCTTTGCATAACATTAGTATATGCGAAACGGCGAGTCGTCATCTGTAAGAGCAGCGCATACCTGGCAAAACACACAACGAAGGTTACAACCACTGAAAAAGACGCTCCCGGAGCCATTGTGACCTTGAATGAATGGTTCCTCGCCAAAGTGTGGTGCTATTGTTCCCACCTTGACCGTCTCTGCACCGATCAGGCACACTCCTGTCTTCTCGTAACGGTTGACGCCGCAAAGGCGGGGGCATAAGTTGCATTCGCGCAGGTGTGCATAGGCCAACGATCGCTTCTTAGACGCGTCCACCGAAGACAGTAGATGATAACGGGGGATGTAGTCATCGACGAGGTAGGGCGGCGCCAGGTGCAGGCTACGGCGCATCGAGGGGCGCCTTAGCCGTAGGCATGTTGAGGGTCTCAAGGCGGGCCGTAATCTGGATAGCAGCGCCATGCTGGCAAGGCAGATACTTTGCTCATTGGTACGAGGCCAACTTGGGTGTACAAGAGACAAAGAAACAAGTCGCGGTTGCGACAACGAGCCATCTCTGATGTCAGTCATGCCAGCCCCACTTGCCGAGGCTGGTTTGACAACTGCAGGGCGCCGTCCACAACCATCCCAATCCTCTCATTCCCCACGAACACTAGCCTGCGTAGGACAGCTACCAGATATACAACCCCATTACCAACTCCTCCCCGGTAACCAAGGACATTGCAAAGCTGCGCTGTTCTTGTGTCAACGTGATGCAGCTTCTCCAGACCAAAACATGTCGGATCAAGTCATTGCGTACACAAACGCCACATTACAAAAGTACTACTAAGTAGTACTCTGGCTTACGATGGTCGCCTACTTGGTACACAATATCTGCCACGATTGTGACGTTCAAGGTATCAACTGCCTCCCGACGGGCGAACACGTGAATGACAGCTCCTTTGTGCCCTGTGGTATCATCACCACGAGCATCACCAAAATCACCTGCACAAGAGAGCAGGTCCACTCTGTCCAACATCAACTGTAGGAGTGTGACTGTGCCCATGTTATACCAATTACCCAACTTTGTTTCTCAGTTGCAGCATCCCTGCCGACAGACCTACATAATCTCAGAACGAATATGTCTAATCTTGCGCTGCCTCTATTGCTCATCTTGTTCATACAAATACAAAATGCGTCTACTCACTCTTCTCCCCGTTGTCTTTGGACTTCCAGTCTTTGCAACACTCATCAACACGCAGTATCCGATACTGCTCCTTCCTCTCAAGAAATCTCAACCGGAAACTGCATTTCCTACTCAGAAAGATGCCACTGTCAGCTACAGCGTATGACACGAAACCAAGCCACGTTGCTCATTGCATGATAGCTGACAATGGAACAAAGAACAAGACTGGGAACGAACAGTGGACCGCTGTTAGCTTCTACGTACCCGACAACAACGCCAACGTCTGCCGTCTTCGTTTCTTAATCAACACTGATCCTTCCAAGAACGCTCCGTTTAGTCTCAAAGGCGAACCCCCTTTCGTGATTGACATCTCACGTGTGGAACCTAAACTTGACAACAGCCGTACTACCTGGAACAACAAGCCCGCGATCATTGAGCGCTACGACACTTACGTCTTGTCCACGACTGGTGCGAGTGAGATCCGGAGTAAATGGTTTGCATGCCCAAGAAGAGATATCGCCCAGTTCATCATTCATCCGGCCAATACAAGAGATTTGGAGGTGTACTGGTACGAGCTGAATTACGAACCCGAGTATGGCGGTCCGCATGGTGCTGTGCTTGAATTGTATACCTGAGTATCATTGCGAAGTTTTCGAAAACTGACTTTTCCGCAAGTCGCAAGGTTTCCATTCTCAACTTCAATTTTCGGTTTCGTGACAAGCTGTCACTGATACTGGTACGGTCAAGGACACAGCTTTTTTGGCTTCCCTGTTCCCTTCACAAATTGACTCTTTTAAAACCACCGTCTCAAAGCCTTTCGTATATGCAATATAAGATTTTCGACCCCAGTGCTTTTTCCAGGGGAAGACTTCCCGTTTGAGAAGGCATTCTTGCCATAACCGGTGAGATTGCGCAAGCGGAACCCGGATTTGACGGGATCGCTTGCACTCCCAGTAGCCTATAAATGATGTTGTATAGGGAGCACAGACTTTTTGCCGCACGTTGCTACAACACACGCACACATTTGCAATCGCGAAAGCTAGGAATATCTTGATCTAGCAAATCGTGAAATGACTTGAAGCGCCAGAGAGACAATTAAAGACCAAAAGGTGTGCTCTCATATCAAAGATGATCCCCGCCCGAGCCCCATATACACACCTATCATGGATATCGAAAGTCGAGGTTTGGAGTACAAGAACGTCCAGGCAACAATACTGCCCAAGTATTATGAGAAGCTGCATAATCTCACCGCGAAAGCGACTTTTTACTATGCCAATACTGGAGCGACGCATCGCTCTAAGCAGTAGCCGGCCATATTTCACTCATTGCGCGCGCCCCGGGTGAAATCGACAACCTGGTTCATGGCTCAAGCCCATCAAATGCAGCTGCCTGAGAAGAGGAATCAAGCGAGCGAGGTGTACAGATACTCTACCACCATGACATACACATAGCATTGCTCCTTTAGAGGCTCCAAAGCGCTGTTTTGATGCAACACAAAATGAGTCGTTCGAGCAGTACATACAGCTCAATATCATGTTTGATCTCTTCAAAAACAGCGTGGAAACGCCGCAAAAGGATCGAGAGGCAAAATGCAGTGGACAAGCTGAAACAGGAGACAGCGAGTAGGAAGCGGCTTGTCCGGAAAGTGAGTGAGAACTATCTCTTAGCGTTTACATTTGGGCGGATTGTACGTACTTACGGCGTTGTCTGTCATGTGTTAAGCTGACAACAATCGATAAGTGTGAAACCGCCAGTCGTCACGGACATGCCCCGCCACGTCGCCGGTGTCAAGCGCCCCTGCAGTATCGGCAAGTTTCGTGCTTACTGTGGATATACACACTTACGCAGGTGTGTACTACTTGGGTAGTTACATGGAATGTCATCGACGCTGGGAAATATATAATATCAAGTCGAGGCTTGGCCATCATCAAACGTCTCTCCACTTTAAGCCGTTGGATTTTCCGCACAGGCCTGCAGCGAAAATCCAAGCATGTTCGGTGGGTACGATATCTTGTGCTTGTGCCTGCCTTGGCAACTTCCGTTCATCAATCTTGGTACAAGTCCACAATGCTTGTATGGCAAGCTTGTCAATCTTAGAAGATTCTGCATCATCTTGATGCAAATCAACGCAATCTTGCTCTCTACGAAGGTATAAAGAGCAGGCCATAGACGCAATCCAGCCATTTCATGGCATCGCAATCTGCCTTGCACAACTCGGGCCTTTACCATTACCTGCTAATCCATTGAAATGCGTCATCAATGTACGAATCTGGTCGTGCTATCCAGGCTGTTCCACAGATACTTAATGGAAGACGAGATTGGCTCCGGTGTATGTAGGATTGGGAGCCCTCATTAATCTCCGAGTTATCGGCAGGTCCAGTCTCGAAAGCCTCTTCCCACCCAACTACTCATCTCCTCTCCAAAATGTCAAGGGTTCCAAAAAAAATCGCTCTGCGCCAATGCCGTCCCAATGGTTCACACAGAACAAGAGCAAGCAGGGGGAATTCAAGGCAATGATGGTCATTGCCCTGATTCATTGCAGGCAAAGACACAGTACTTACTCACTATCGGGTCGGTGAGCAGCGCCACAGACAATCGGCCGCTGGCTCTTTGCATAGTCAAGCGTCGGACGACCTGAAACTTGGCGCATGTTCCCGACCGTTTCAATCCAGGCGCGCGGGCGCTTCGACTACATAAGACAACCCGTCTTTATTTCCCTTTGCGGCTAGCCTCACAGGAACCCCGGCCACCAAGCTGTCAGTGTGCATGGTGCCCGCTGTTGCAGGAACGCCATTGTTCACCCTGTCATATTTTAAAGAAACCTCCGGCCTTAGCTACTTGACGCCAGCCTCCAACTGGTGGAAAAAGCGACTAAGCATAACTGCAGGACCCACGCCGAGCCTGTTCTCGGAAAGCGACAGGGCGCGAAGCTATTGTTTTGAATCACAAGCGAGGGTCAGCGCTGTGAAAAATTCAGTTCTATGGGAATTTGTTTCATGCGTTTGATGAGCTTCAGATCCACACATGGAGCCCTCGACGTGAGTACTGTCATGCCGCTCCATCGTATATAGCCATCAGCAGTGGTCTTCTTCCAAGCCTTTTCTCTCCATCAAACTCACCGTTTCTTCACTTCCAACTCACAGCTCCCTCGTTTGCTATAGGTCTGAGACCTGCCATTCATTTTTTTCAAACAACCGTCTTTTTCACTCTTCTCTCAAAGAAGCTAGGCTTCAAAATTCTCTGTACATCACCTATTGCTCTTCTCGAACAACAAACAACCCATCACAATGAAGTCTTACGTTATCGCTACTGCCATTGCAGGCCTTGCCTCTTCTGTTGCTGCTCACGGTAGCATCGTCAGCCCAACTCCCCGAAAGGCCGGCGATGGCCTCAAGCAAGCATGCGGTGACCAGGTCTTCAACACTCAGAATTCTGACATGTACGGCAACGTCCAGGGTTCTATACAGAACCTTCAGGGCAGCCACCCTGATTGCCGTATCTGGCAGTGCAAGGGTGTTCCTTTTTCCGATCACACCGAGGTCTTCTCCTATACCCCCGGCCAAGTGGTAAACATGACCGTCACCATTCGTGCGCCCCACGACGGTCTTGCCAATGTTTCCATCATCGATCTCGCTACCGACAAGGTCATCGGCAAGCCCCTCATCAGCTGGGACAAGTACGCCTTGACCTCTGTTCCCCTCAGCCAGCATCCCGAGTGGACCGACTTCAGCATCACCATGCCCGACGTGAGTGATCACTGCAACAAGGCTGGCATCTGTGCGATTCAGTGGTACTGGGATGCACCCACCATTAACCAGACATACGAGTCTTGCGTAGACTTCACCATGGGTGCTGGCTCCGGCTCCGGTTCTGGTTCTGGCAACAGCACTGCTCCTGCTCCTGCTCCTTCCCCAGTCGACAACTCTGGCTCTGCCCCTGCTACATCGCCTTCTGCGTCGCCTGTCCCAGTTGAGAACTCGAACTCCGACTCTGGCAGCGCCCCTGCTCCATCTTCTGCTCCCTCGCAGGGCTCCGGCTCCAACTCTGGCTCCGGTTCCGCGCTCCCAAAGACCTTCACTATCGACACCTTCATCACCTGGCTCCGCGCCAATGCCGGTTCTGGCGTCGCTAATAAGGTGCGCAGTGTGATGGTCGCCGGAGGCGTTCATCCCCGTGCTTTCCGTGGTTAAGCTTCGTATGGAGCAAAAGACCGCTAGTACAATCGACCATGTATGATGATTTGGTTGGAAACAAGAAATTACTGTTCGATTCTGCTGTAGATATACACTTTCCAATGACACCATTTTACCCACCATTTGTGGGAGCTGTGCATCTTTCCGTCATTTTCTTCGAGCATTTTGTCTCTGACGCAACCCTTGTGCATATCATATTCAAGTGCCCTTGAGTAATATATATAAATTTTGATAGATACAGTTAGTCAGGCTCAGGACAGTCGCTTCACCAACGGGAACATATGTGAAGCCAACTTCTTTGAACCTTCCAAGCTGGATACAGACTAGGAAATTTCTTATATCAAATCACCCTTCCTTGATTGCTGTATATTATACTAGAAATGAACTGTTGAATAAGAATGGACTGCAAATACCATTTGGTGATGTCCACAATGTCCCTTCCCACACCAGCTTGACCACCTCTGCCGATCCATACCATCCGAACCGATCACTGTCCCTCCCCGAATACGCACACTTGCTATACAAAAGAAACTAAATCAGCGCCACTAATATACAGAGCATCTTGATATAAGAGACGTGTAACAAACAGCTTGGTTGCCCAGTCGTCCAAAGGGTCAAAAATATCGTGAACCGAAGCAAACATAAAAGAATTCAAATACCAACCATCCATGACGCACTCCAGTGGACCGCCTACAATGAGAAACTCTCTCAAGGTCACCCAGCTGGTCAATGATGCTTCTGCTCTCCTGGAGTGTACGGGGATTGTTGCAGATCCGAATGGTGTTGCGCCCAATACTGCTGAAAGATATCATCTTGCAATTCCTCCTCCGTTGGAAGTGAGGAAATAATTTCCGTGTCGGCAAGACATATCCCCATTGAAGGATCAGGCTGCTCCAGCGTATTGTCGTAGGCAGGCGCACTGCAGCCGGTATAAGGCTGCATACGTTGTTGATTGTCTCTGACCATTGTATAATCGGCATTGTCCAGCTGCCGAGATGTGTCGATTGGAAAGTCGGGGTCAGTCGCACCCTGCCACCTGCCCAAGCTGTGGGCCATGGCCGCTAGCCTCACGCCATCTGGTGTATGCGCCTCAGTTATGATCCCGGGTGAGATTGGCAGAGGGGAGAAGGGAGATTGCTGCACCACTGGCATGGGTGCGATGCGATATTGACTCTCCTGCCGAGGAGCCAGAGAGACCTGCCTCGATGATGTCGCTGGCGTCAAGGCGATAGCTCCTTGGTGGCCAAAGGTATCGTCATGTGAATAAGAAGGGAAATGAACGGAAGATTCCCGTGCGGCTAACCTTGATTTTGGAGGCCTCTCTGTAGACGGCTGGTAATGTGACTGGTACTGCTGCCGAGGGAGTGAGCCTCGCGACAATCCTGACTCGGTCATCAGTGAACGCTGTTGTGCCTGTTTGCTTTGCACCGTGTTCCTCCGCCTCTTTGACGGACGCGATTCACCTTCTGCGCCTTCATTGCTTTTTGCATTTGGTCGCTTGCTATTTCCCACGCGATTCTGATCCTTGCGCTTAGCGTACGCCTTGGGTGCGTTCACAAACATGCGTATCTGCCAGGCCGAACTCATGACGTTCTCGCAAATCGATTTTTCTTGCCGTAGTGCAGCAATGACGTTCTCTAATAGTTACGAAATCAGCAACCATATCTTTAGAATTGCAATTCGCTCTTGTACTTACTCAAACGGCCTGCACAGTCAATGTCCTTGTCGTCATCTTCGCCCTTTCTCTCATCGTTCACATAGTCATTTTGGTTCCAACCTCGAAACCCCTTTTTGACCTGTTCAAGCAAGCAATCGAATACCTTGTGAGCATATGCTTCGACAAGATCTGACGAGTAATGTGGCTCGTGAACCCATCTTTTCAGAGCAGTAGACTTCGCGTTGTCTCGTGCAAAATCTCCACAAATCATGGCGTTGTATATGCGTTCTACATGAAAATCACGGTTGTGTTCCGTCTCCGCAATGGTAGGGTCGCTATCGGGATCTCTCCATGGCCTTCTTCCAAAACGCATTTTATCACGGCGGTATACTTTTGCGTCTTCCGAGGTTCGAAATCGGCCAAGAAACGGTCCGTAATGCTGACCTGGAATATGTGGAGGTGCACTGCTGTGTCTCGACGAGGTTGGCGGGGCAGAGAGTACGGTAGCAAATGAGGGCTCTTCGCCAGAGAAGGATCTGCGATGAAACATGTACGACTGGGAAGACTCCTTTCTCGGTTCGTGGCCTAGGAAGTTCGGGCCAACGCGTTTAATACAGTTCCCTAGACCATGTGGAAGAGTGGTGTCCATTGCAGCAGCTGATTGCGATGCCTGCGCACAAGAATTCTGATCAGGAGCCGTGGGTTCATCCTTATCAAAGCTGGTGTTCGCCATGCTGGATTGGTCGAACTCGTTTGCATCTCCAAATTGTTGGCTGCGTGAGCCGTGGTACCTATGCAAGGTGTCCCAGCCCTTGGTATCTTTCATCGCTTCCTCAAAATAACCCTGTGGTTGATCGAAGATGGAAGCATAAGGACATTGTTTGGTAGATCTGACGGCTGACTTGTCGGTGTTCCTCTCCAGCAAAGGTCCTGGGAAGCCTGTAGTCTCCCTCATGTAGTGTCTGTTGCTTCCTTCAAGCTTGCACTTGTAAAATTGACGCGGAGACTTGAATAATATATCGAGAGAAGAGAACAATAGCAATACTGACAAAATGGTATGTCAATCCGAATTCGTAACTTAATGCAAGTATAGGGTGTGCTCTGTCAACAGGCGTACATCAATCGTACAAGGAAGCGAGTTATATCAAATGAGCAAACGTCTATAAGGCACCGCTAATTGGTGCTCTGTGCTTGGACTTCGTGGGAATTGATGTTGTTCAGTACTCCTCGTGATTTATCCATGCGTTAGCGGTCGCGTGTGTCACTACGATCGAGGTGTCATTTGCAATGGTGGCCTTGGACCTGTGCAGCGTTTGACTTTTGCATCATGTGCAATTGACTAGATGTTTGCAGTCGTTCTGGATCCAATATCGCACACCTTGCGTGCTGTGAGTCTTTTTCCCTGTCCGACAGTATTCATTACTCCATGTGACTAAAGATCAAGACATGTTCAATTCTAGGAAAGCATCCAGCTGAACATGTCGCTATCGCCTATTCTTTTCTATTCGGCTGCTTGCTCCTGACTCCGCATCAGAATAGTTCACGTAAGGCTATCGACATGAAAACCGGCCCTAAGGAGCAGACTTGATCCTGAGACTCAGGAAAAGGACAAACTGAAGTTATGAGTGTGGTGTGAACAACGCCTTCCTCCAATTAGCAAACGAATCGGCGTTCAAAGATGAATGCTGGCGCTTGAGTAATAATAGAGAAATTTGAATTTTTGCTTTGGAAGCCATGGCAATGGAGCCTTTGGCCCTTCATAGTGGAAACACAGTGTGGAGTGTCGGCTATTGAAGGATCTGCCGTCAATTTTCTCAGATCCTCTAGGCGTCATGTTGAGGGCAATAGTCAGCACAGTCAAACTACCGACAGGCTAGTACGGATATATTCCGATGGGTATCTCTTCACAACTGCAGTGGCGAATACGTGTCTACTGTGCCTTTGTCCATGAAGTCTCACAAGTCAACTCGCTTCTACGGCTGCTTCATGTTGTGGGTACATCTCATATGACGAGTCCATGCACGGGTGTGCTTGTTATTATCTCAGATGAGCTTTCAGGGCTACTTACATGCAACTGTCCAGTTGGAACAAGAAGACAATTGGGTTGCGCATCCAGCCGGAATCACTGCCCTGTGATTTCCTGCAAGACGCAGGAAAGATTGCATACTGTCATTGTAGTACATGCAATCCGTATGAAATTGTTATTAGGGCGAGGTAATAGACCATGGCGTGATGTCGCACTAGTTGCACGCACAGTATTCCGCTTCTTGTCATTAATTCCGCGCTCTGCAGTGCCGGGCTGTGTTCCCCGCATTGTTAGCGGGCATCATTATCTGGGAACCCCATAGTACTTACCTTCTGTAGCAAGCGGCACATAGACAAGGCAATGTAAAAAGTCATAAGTCGACCGCCCTCGATATGATGATTGTTGGCGTGCAAACGAGATTCTTTCCATGTCTGTTGATACTCGCAGCAATACGGAACGTCAGTCGCCATCATGATTTCCACCATCATTGAAGTCTTGTCCTTGCAACTGGCCGATCATCCAGTCCAATCTATCGTCCTCGTATCAATTCTAATTCCTGTCTTGTACATTGTCAGCAATGAGTATACTCGATACTCTCGACGCATCAAGGGGTTTTCCGGACCAAGAAACTGGCCACTGGTGGGCAACATTCCCGATATCAGGTACAACGCGGCGGAAAAGTATCGCGAATGGAGCAAGCAATTTGGTGCAGTGTACCAGATCCAGCTTGGAAACGAGCCAGTAATTGTGGTAAACAGTGCGGAGGCTGCAAGAAAATTGTTTGGCGGCAACAGTCAAGCGCTAAGCTCAAGGCCTGTTTTCTGGACTTTTCACAAGGTGAGTTGATCACGTATGGGTTAGGACAAGTTGACTGAGTGATATAGGTGCTTTCCAACACTGCTGGCACGACGATTGGCACCTCGCCCTTCAGCGACTCACTCAAGCGCCGGAGAAAGGGCGCTGCGTCTGCGCTGAATAAGCCTTCTATCGCAACGTACATAGGTCATCTTGACCTAGAGACGAAGGAATTTGTCAAAGATGCTTTCGAATCAGGCAAAGCTGGAACAGTGGGCGTGGATCCAATGCCCATGATTGAGCGTCTATCTCTCTCACTTGCATTGACACTCAACTGGGGGACTAGAATGGGCAGTCGACATGATCCCATGTTCCACGAGATCTGTGAAGTCGAGGCCGCAATTTCAAAGTTTCGCAGCACTACTGGAAACCTGCAGGATTACATTCCCATACTAAGGCTGAATCCTTTCAGTTTCGGCACGAGGTCGGCAAAAGAGTATCGTAATCGCAGAGACGTGTACTTGACCAAACTGAACCGCGACCTGGACGAACGCATGGCGAAGGGTGTCCATAAGCCATGCATCCAAGCAAACATCATCCAAGACAAAGATGCGGCGCTAAACAAGGAAGAACTGACATCAATCAGTTTGACGATGCTGTCCGGAGGGTTGGACACGATTACGACACTGGTCCAGTGGAGTGTGGCACTGCTTGCGCAGAGGCCAGACATTCAGGAGAAAGCGATTCGAGAGATACGGCAATTCTACTCGGAGAGCGAGCCTCTAGCGGATGCGTATGATGATCAGAAGTGCGGATATATTGTAGCGCTAGTTCGAGAGTGCTTGCGGTACTACACCGTGCTACGACTGGCACTTCCGCGGGCAACGGTCAAGGACGTGATGTATGACGGCAAGCTCATTCCGGCAGGCAGCACGATATATCTCAACGCATGGGCGTGCAACATGGGTAAGTGGTTTTGTGGGGCAAAGAAGGAGAGGGGAGCGGGCAATGCTGACTTTGCCATTAGACGCCGATGTTTGGAGCGACCCAGACGAATTCCGGCCAGAGCGCTGGCTTGAACAGCCCGACGCGCCGCTGCACACGTACGGGATCGGGTACAGGATGTGTGCAGGCTCGTTGCTGGCAAACCGCGAACTGTACCTGGTGTTTTTGAGGATGTTGAACAGCTTCGAGATTGTGCAGGACTCGGAGGTGGATGTGCACCCGGTGCGAGGCAGCGCAGACCCGACCAGCCTCGTGACAATGTGCCGAGCGTACAAGGTCGTGTTCAAGCCACGGAACGAGCGGATGCTGCGCGAGGCTTTGAGGGCGGCAGACGAGCGATTGGCCGAGCATGAGAAGGCGTGAGGGTTGGATGCATAGGGTTGGAGATGGAGGATAGTAGTAAGTAGTAGTCGTAGTAATACGTACGTAGTACTATGTATGGCCCTGCCCAACCAAGTAGTGTACATGAATGAGTATGTAACTACACACTTGGTATGCACCCATTGCCCCACCCGCCAGCAACATACCCTGGCCCACCTTGCGCGTATCCTCGTCAATGATCACCGATACTGCTTATTTTTGAACTGTGTACACATATACTGTATGTGCACACATGCGTAGTGGCAGCACCGTGGCACGAGTCCATTTGCGCCGTCGCGTCATCCCAAACCTTGCTGCACGCGCATTCCCGTCCAACATGATGCCCGGCGTCTCTGCGCGGTAGAAGGCGACACCATGTTCAGAAACACGATGCTGGCCGGCGACGAGGAACTAGGCAAGAAGGACGACGACCGCCGCTTCAGGCCAGCGCGCAAGCCCGGCTGGCCCGCATGGAGCCACCCATTGCGCTGGCGGCGGCGGCGCACTCTGCTGGCCGTGACGGGCCTGCTGTTACTCTACTATCTCTTCCACGCCCATACCGACGAATACCATGGCGGCCTGGAACAGCAGCAGCAATACCCCTCGGCCCTGACCCGGCCCATGGCCTCGACGTACCAGAAGCCGAGCGCAGACGACGACAACGACAACGACGAGCCCATCGGCCCACCGCCAGGCGTGCGCAAGCCTAAGCGCGGCGAACCGACGCCTCATGTCTACGATGGACAGGTCCGCTTCTTCCGCCTCGCCAGCTCCTTGCGATCGTCGGCCTCGTCCACGGGCGGCTATGACCAGGACAATAGCAACGTTCTCTTTGCCGTGTCGAGCCTCAAGAGCACTTCAGTGCTGCTGTCTCTGGCGTGCGACATGTCTAAGTGGAACAGGAACCACGTCCATGTGGCCTTCATGGGAAGGGACGATGTCCCCCTGGACGACTTGCTGCAAATCAATGGCATAGACAAGACCGAGTGCCCCGCCGTGTGGCATGATGCGCGCCCAGACTATGCAGAGTACGTCCGTCCAGCTTGTACGACCGCTCCACGGGCAGGCCGCTGACATAGCATCTACAGATATAGCACAGATGCGCGCGCTGAGCTGGCCGTGCAAGGGGCTCTGTCGCACATCAAAGCCTTCCTTCACCCCCAGGCTGCTTTCTTCTATGACCCGCGGTCAGAGGACGCTTTCTTTGTCCGGGCACTGAAGACCAAGGCCAGCGCACTGCACATGCCTCTCATTCAGGTGCCCAAGGACAGACTCGACGACTTCACGTGGGTCACCAGACTCGACGCCGGTTCACTGAAACGATGGCATGACCCTGTCGTAGACATCTTGATACAGGTACCGCCACGTTCTTCGAGCGTCATGCGATTGCTCAAGTCGATCAAAGACGCTGATTACAGCGGCCTGAGACCGCCTCGCATCATCATCGAGTTACCGGCCGAGCTCGACGCATCCGTGAAAAAACATATGGAGAAGTTCGAATGGCCGCCAAACGGCAACGAGCACGGCCTCGGAGGCGGACTCACCATCAGGCGGCGCATCGCGGACAATGGCCACAGCCAGCAAGAGTCGGCGATACGCTTACTGGAACTGTTCTACCCCGCGAGCACCACCAACTCCCACGTGCTCTTACTTTCTTCACAGGCGCAGGTCGCGCGGCAGTACTTTCACTTTGTTAAGTATACGCTCTTGGAATACAAGTACTCCGGATATGGCGCTTACGACTACGGGGATCTAATGGGCGTAAGCCTTGAGCTGCCACCGATGCTCTTGGACAACAAGGCAAGGCTGAAACCCCCAGGGGTTAGTGATATGAACACAAATCGATATAAGAAATTGTTCCCAAAAGCCGAGAGCGCACCGTTCCTATGGCAGGCTCCAAACAGTCACGCGACACTGTTCCTGGGCGACAAGTGGGCCGAGCTGCACTCGTTCCTGAGCAACCGAGTGGCCAAATATCAAGGTCCAGTCAAGCAAGCAACTCGGAAGAAGCTAGTGTCAGAGACGTTACCAGCCTGGACCGAGTATATGCTCGAATTCATGCGAGCCCGGGGCTACTCACTACTATACCCCGCAGTCATGTCTGATGCACTAGTTACAATACACAACGAGCTATATCATGCTCCAGAGGAGTTTAGGACGCCATTGACAGGTGCCAATGAGCAAACACACACAATAGACAAGGAAGAAGCCTTTGTTCGAGCGGAAGAATCGCCGCGGGCGCTCCAACACGCAGAGCCATCTGCCATGGCTGATGCAGTGTCTCTCCACCAAGCCCTACCCTTTGACGGCGATCTTCCCGAAATTTCCCATCTACCACGATTGCTTTACAACGGCCAGCACATTCCAGCTGCCAATGTGTCGGCAATTGCACAAGCATATGCTGACGATTTCCGCCAAGAGATTGGTGGTTGTCAGCCGGTAAAAGGGAAGCACAGGAAGAGGATCGAGGGCGAGGCAGGTGATTTGTTTTGCTTCGGAAATGAGGACAAGGAGGACTGGGAGGAGGATGAGAGTAGAGAGACGGAGATGTTTAATGCACCCATTGACGACCAGCTGGAGAAGCTGCTCCTAGTGGATGGACTGCCAACCAAGACGGCATCAGCAAAGGATCAAGCGAGCACAAGGACCGCGAAAGTTTCTGATGACCACGTTGATGGCGATGATGACGGTTCTTAGGACAAAATGCCATGTATTATGCATATCGAAAACCACTTATTACTATTCTCATTATTGTTATTGTTATTACCATTCTTACTATCGGTTTATTGTTGTGGTTGGATTCTTGTCTTGTATATGTAGAACGTGCAGTACTACACAACTACTAACTAACTAGTTGTTAACGTCAAGGATCAGTCATCCGGCCAGATCAGTCATCCGGCCACCCCACCAAACCTAACCCAACGCTCCACACAACCATCACAATGCCGCGACAACAGCGCTCTTTATCGCCTTAAAGGCAAGGTAGAATTTCTCTTGTATTACAATCAATTTAAAAACAGTAAATAAAAAGCTAACGTAAAGCTGCAAGGCTATTTAATATCCCTCGTTTAACACTTTACAACCGCCTTTAAGGTAGCCAGCCTTAAGCTCTTGCTAATGCTAAAAAAAGAAAGCTATTACCTACTAAAGAGCAGTCTCTCGTACAGTGGATTCTAGACCTAGATAGGCGTGGTTTTCTACCCTATATTATTGACGTACGACGGATAGCAGACGCGTTGCTCGCCGCGCGTGGCCAAGATCCACCTTCTACACCCGTAGGTAAGAAATGAGTATCGCGCTTTATCTAGAGCCAGCTAGAGCTTCAGACGAAGTAGAGTAGAAGGCTTAATAGCTAGCGCGCCTAGTACGAAGATCCTACTATAATCGCAGCGTGGTTTAAGCTAGTAGAGGAGATTTGCTAGACGTACGGCGTGCTAGACTAGGATATCTATAACTTTAACGAGACTAGGTTCGCGATAGGCGTCGCTAGCACGTTAAAAGTCGTAACTAGCTCTGATAGAGTTAGTCGGGCAGTCGTCGTATAGCTAGGTAATCGTAAGTAGGTTATAGCGATCGAATACGTTAACGCGTCTAGCTAGTCTCTGCTACTGTTCGTAATACTAGCTAGTAAGGTCTACTAAAGTAGCTAGTACCGCAATCTTCTACTAGACTAGGCTATTAGCGTCTTAGAAAATGGTTGGATGATAGATAAGCTTAGTATAGAGTAGGTAAAGCATTTTAACTAGTATATAGCGACTCGTATAGCTAGAGTCTATTAGCTACTTATTCTAGACGGCTATAGTAGTTACGCCACGCCTGAGTTTAACTAGTACTGCGTAGAGAATAAGATAATTACTCTCTATATACCGCCTTATACGTCGCACCTTCTTTAGCCTCTAGACATAAGCTGCTTCTCCCCGCTTAAGTGCGCGTACGGACGTAAGGTAGAGGAGCTCGCCCGCTAGAGCCTTTACCACGTTAATAAGACGGACTTTCTTATAGTCTATATATGGATCCGGCCGACAGTATTCACGCAGCAGAATATCTAAGTAGGCTTTTAGGCGATAGGTCTTATCTCTCCTTACTTAGATCGCGTTCTATCGTTACTAACTATTGTTTATGCACTATCTCTACCACAGACAGCTATAGAAAATAACGTCGCTAATATCGCCTAGTAGGTAGGGACACCCTATATAGTAGCTTAGCTCTAGTAGTAGGTAAAATATCTTAAAGACTAGCTCTACTGGGAATCTTAGAGCTTAATAAGCTAGCTTCTTCGCTAAGTTATTAAAGGCTGTTAGATTATAATGCAATTAGCGACAATACTTACTAAAGAAAATAAGAAGCTACGTTAAGGTAGTAAGCTCTGGCGATAGAAGAAAGATCGGCAGCGTTAATATATTACTTCTAGTAGAGTACTTTAGGTATAGCAGGCTTAGCAGCTTACTATAGAGGTAGAAAGGGTAGTCGTAGAGGTTGAGCAGGGTGAGGGCAGTTAGCGACGTCAGCGCGCGCCGCCGACGTGTACAAAGTGCCATATTTAAGAACACACTCGGACTTTATATAGAACTTAATAGCTAACTATATTTTGATATTCTATCTAATCTTACCTTGTTGTTGTGGATTTATCGTGTGTCGCGTCGGGTCAGGTTTGGTGGGGTGGCCGGATGACTGATCTGGCCGGATGACTGATCCTTGACGTTAACGTGCGGGATCAGTAAGCTGGGCAGATCAGTAAGCTGGGCACCCCACCAAACTTCACCCAACGCTCTACACAACCACCACAATGCCGCGACAATAACGTTCTATACAGACTTCTCGTGAAGGCAGAATAAGCCTTGCTATCGCATCTTATCGTAATAATCCAAAACAATCTATTCGTGCTCTCGCAAAAGCCTTTGATATACCACAATCTACACTACACACGCGTATCCATGGTGTCCAGCCACGATCAGAGACAGCCTCTGTCAACCGCAAGCTATCGCCCATTGAAGAGCAGTCTCTCGTGCAGTGGATCCTAGACCTTAACCGACGCGGTTTTCCGCCTCATATCATTGACGTGCGACGGATGGCAGACGCTCTACTCGCCGCGCGTGGCCAAAATCCACCTCCAGCACCTATTGGCAAGAAGTGGGTGTCGCGCTTTATCCAGAACCAGCCAGAGCTCCAGACAAAGTGGACTAGAAAGTTTAGAGCCAGCGCGCTCTCTCTGAAGATCCTGTCGCAATCGC